GAGAAAGAAGGATAAATGGTTACGAAACGCAGAGGACCGGGACTGGCGCGGAGAACCGTAACGCGATTTTCCCGATTATCTTTTCGACGAGGACTCGTGGAGAACTTGAGCTGGATTATTATGCTTAGGTCACGTTTTACCTGTCGCTTAACTCTTTCGTTGCGGCAGGCTTGCGAAGTGCTTGCAACGAACCAAGTCGGCAATCCATTAATATGTCAATAACACAACTGAGAAAATGCAGCGAAGCCAAATTTCCCTATAATATAATTAAGGGATAATGAAATAAGTCACGCCAAAATTCGCGGCTGTTATAAACGTATCATAAATATTGTAAAATTTTACATTTATGAGCAGAAAAGTGAAAACATTTTATAAACAACGTTAACGTCTGCGAATTAAAACGTATGACTACTGTACGGGTGAAAATTGTATATGTTCTTCAGTAGAATTGATTGATCCTTTTTTGGATGTCATCAGGACGTTCTTCACACCTAAAGAGTTAAATGGGACTTGCAGATACCGAGAGCACTGTCCCTTGGAGCGAATCGTCCGCGAAATGCGCGATCGGCTGTGATCGTTCTGAACTACTTCGAACCCTTCTTACGCCTTCGAGCCCTTCCTACTCGCGTCATATGCTCGTCTCGAACTTCCCTTTCTCGCCAACGATTTACACCAACCGCATGATATAATAATGGAGACCGACGTGACCTACCTCAACGGAACACGCGGTGCCGAGTGCCATGGAAGTAGGAGGAAGAGGAGGAGAAGGGAGTCAGCCAAAGGGAAACCCCATCCACCCCGACGCGAGAGTCGAGGGTCGTAAAACCCCCTACACTCCAACTCAGACTCGTCCTACCGCCCTACCAGACAGAGACCCTAACCTACCTCACGTCTAGCTGACGTTGGGCGGGCTAAAGGGGCGACGAAACATCGTTCCTCGTGCCACAGAGACACACTTTTGTCACGGCCCAACCCCACGATTCCCCAAGCCCTCTTCACTTTCCTCCTCCTTCTCCTCTTCCCCTCTTCCGCCTACCTTTCTTTCGCACCCCATCAACCGGCATGCTACGTTACTGTTCATTGTTGAGAAAGTTGACTCTTATCCACGATAGCCGCGACTTTTACCGCGCTTAAACTCAACGAAGTTTGACTATATTAAATGAGGTATGAATGTTTACTTCTAATTATTTCGACAACGAGCAAAAACTTGTTGCCAGAAAATTTCAATAGACATTAAATGAAAAGGTTTTTGACAAATTTCTTTCCTCTAATATAAAAAAGATAAAAAATAAATACTAATATAAACATATTTAAAAAATCTCGATATTTCAACTGTTCTATGTATAAAAAGCTTTTTTAAAATCAGTAAAAATAAAAAAAAGATGAATCACGAGACAATGAAATCTATGGAGTGCATGATCTAACAAATGAAAAATCCGCATGCGATTTTTTTTTTTTTTAGGAAACCTCTTAACCGCAAACAACGTTATTTGCTGATAAATACTAAGCGATTGGACGGATGCTATATGTGATCCAGTAGATGCCCTTCCAGTAGAAAACCTTCCGCCGTAATTCCGCCGAGGCAAATTAATCGGGTAGAGATTGAACCGGCCAGTAGATATTTGATGCCGAGCGGAATTCGTTAAGTTTAATTAGATGCGGCAACTCTACGGCACGCCACAATGCAGTCGATTATCGGACTTATTAAAAGATCAGGATATCATGGAATTCATGGAGCATTAATATTTTTTACTTTCGTGAATCCAGCCGCGATCGGAATAATATAAACAAGAGGAAGCTTAATGATCCGCGAAAAAAAGTTTGGCCGAGAAAGAAAGGAAAGTGGAAAAAAACGTATACGAGAGAGAGAGAGAGAGAGAGAGAGAGAGAGAGAGACCACTCTTCGCGCACGAACTAATTTATCGAGATTCGCCCTCCTTCGGCGCTCCGAGGCAAAGTTTCCGCTCGACAAGCAGGGAAGGCAAGCAGGAAGGAGGTCACGACAGCGCTTTAACCCTTCCGAAGCCATCCGAGACGATAGCGGGCGTCTTGACCCGTCCTATCTCCACTTTGCCGTGCCCTATCCTCCAGCGTAGCGTGACGTAATTCCACTCCGTGAGCCCAAGTTCGACCTACCTACCTAGACGAGAAAGCAATATGTATGTGTGTATTTGTGTATGTGATTGTGTGTGTGTGTGTGTATGTGTATGTGTGGGGGGAGGGGGTGTGTGTGAGTGTGAGTGTGTGTATGCGTTCACACAGAGACGCACATGCACGCGCATGTATCCAACGCGGTATATCTGAGATTCGTGCGCGCAGAGAAGGCTCTCTCGGTTGAGGAGAGCAGAGAAGGGATGAACACGACGACAACGACGACGCGACGTCGTCGTCATCTCGCTTGGCTATGTATGTATTGGTCGCGTAGCTGCAACCATCAATACACTTTGCCGAAGATAGACGCGTTCCGTCGTGTGGTAGTCCCTCTCCAACTACTCCTCCGCAGAATCCTGCGGCCTCGGCGACTCTCATATCCTTCGGGCCTCTGGGCATTCACCGACGTCGTCATCGTCGTCGTCGTCGTCGTCGTCGTCGTCGAAAAAACGGCGTCGTTGTCGTCTTCCTCGTCGTCGTTGTCGTCGTCGTGGGGTTCTCTCTAGCTGCTCGCTCATCCAGCAACGTCACTAACGTCACTAACGACGACGGACATATTGGTATCGCGTCTCCTTAAAGAGAACCCCCTTAGACGACGTCGTATAAATTCAAAGAGACGATTAAATAAATGGAAACGTAGAAATGATACTTAAGATAAAACTAATATTACAAAATAGTCAAAAATTTGGATAAGATAAATATTGATATTTAGATCACAGAATGTATTATATAGTGAAACTTTATTACATTATTATATAGTTTGAGTCAGTTAAGAAAGATTACGTAGAAAAAGTTTTTCAATTTCATTAAAACATTGAAATAGTTATAATAGTTATGCGATAAAATTTTTAATAAATATCTCTTGAACTGTTATATTTTATATAATTTTTACTTCTTTTCGCTTGCATTTTTTTCTACTTGTCTCTATCTTTATTACATAGAAAAGAAATCAAGCAGGGATAATCTCTGCTTAAGTATCGGAAATAATTAACGTTTCGAAAGAAAGCATAATCATAAATATGCTTCGCGCTTCATTACAGTATCTTCTACCTAAAGTAAAATAGAGCAATTCGCCTTGGCGTATCGTCTTAATGAAGTTTTAATTACTTAGATGCTTAAAAATAAAAACTTGCGGCGCCGATGATCCAGCGATAAATTGACGCATCGACAAATCTACCGGAGATGCTAGCGCATTAATGGCGCTCGCATCTCCATTTTTATTTCTCCGTAAAATTAGTATCGGACAAGAATTCCGCGGTGGACGAAACTATCGGAAAAGCGGGGTATACCGATAGTTGTTCGTCACTCGTCAATTTAATATCTCGCATACGTTACGGATATTCGATTCGAACTTTCGCGCACTCCATATACTACACCCTCACTCTTGTGCGCCCCCTCCGGTGCACACAACATCAGCGGCAGTTACCGTCGCACCTCTCCTCCACCTCAAGAAAGTTTCCTCGCTGTTCTGCATAAACATTACGAGCAAAAGTGAAAGTACCCAGCGTCACCGTGGCAAAGTTTCTCCGCGAGGTGGGACAGCACTTGCACCCTCGATATCGTTAGAAATATCCCATTCGCGCAGCGGAGCGCCATTGTCCCATTTACCATCCAACCATTAAGTCAACCCATTACCATATACAACGTTGTATAACCCGTCGCCGTGAACTTCCATTACCATACGCTCTTTCCAATTGATCGCCAATTGCTATTAATTAATCGGAAGTCAAGTAGCGCGTTATAATCGGAGTTGCAACACGCTCCAGAAAAAAATTATACACTTTTTTATTTTTTATTACGATAATTACGATACTTATTTTTCAAAATGTGTAATAAACACATATTCCCGTCGAATATATATATAATTTTTTTATAATTTGGAATTGTAAAAATACAAATTGTATTATATATGAAAATATTTAGTATTTAATACTTTCCTCATAGTAAAATCTAAATATGCACGATGTTAAATGGAACGTAGTGGATTGCAACAAAGAAAAATTTTCAAAGCGCGACCGGCAAGAGTTGCATCCGTTTTCAAGTCCGCTTGGAAATTACCCGTTGGCCTTAGTGCTCCTCAGGGAAGATCCAGCACGTTTTTCACGGGGCTCATCTTCCTAATCTTCCTCGAGAGCCGTCGATACGCCGGGACCGTCCAGCGGAAGTTGCAATCCAGCATTGGCGAACTAAGCACGGGATGTTCGGGTTACGCGATGGGAAGGGAAGGAAGGAAGGAGGAACGGGAACGTTTGCAACGGAGCCGACTGCAGTTTTTCCACGGTGAGAAATAGGGTCTTGGGGTGTGTAAACCCGGTTACTTATGGAGGCCATTCCGGTCTGCGGGCTCGCCGGCCTCCGGCTGAGGGGTTTTAAGGACTTAGCTCGACATTAGCGTCCCTGGGGGAGGTGGGCGGCGGGCGGCAGGCGACGGTGGATATGGACGTCGACGATGTGGATGTGGAAGCGCCAGTTGTCGGAGAAGGAAGGAAGGAAGCCGAAGTTAGACCGACGGAAAAGAGCGAGAGAGAGAGAGAGAGAGAGAGAGAGAGAGAGCCAGAGAGCTGAAGAGTGCAGAGAATGAGAGAGATAGAGAGTGAGAGGGACTCGTTCTCTCTGAGGGAGTAAGCTCTGGATAGGGTTGCGAGGGCCGAGAGTAAGGGTGAATGGTTGGCAGTCGGAGGATCCCCGGGGGGACGGGGTAGTAGAGAATCGCGGAAGCGCAGGGGTGAGGTGGCAGCAGCGGTGGCACGAGGAGGGGGATGGATGTGCGGCGATTTGGTTTCCAATCATGGGACGACGGGACGCGCCTCTATCGAGCGAGCAGAGGCCCGGCCATCCTACCCCATCCTCTACTTCGCTTGGAACCATGTCGGTGCTGGTGTGGTGCTGGTGCAAACCAACCCAACCCAACCCACCGGACTCACTCTCCTTCGCCTGCACCTCCGCGTCTCAACCGACCGTTTCTCCTCCTCCTCCTGCTCCTTCGCTTTCCACTTCCTCCTTCGTCTCCTTCTCTTCCTCCATCGCCTACTGCTCGTCCTCGTCCTCATCCTCTTCCTTCTCCACCTCCTTTTACTACTGCTACTGCTACTACTACCGCTGCTGCTGCTGCTGCTGCTGCTGCTGCTGCTGCTGCTTGTTGTCACCCTTGGCCTGCCACCCACTGCTACCTACCGCCGTCCTTTACTTCCATCTAATGCTTCACGTTCTCTTGCCTTCGTCCTTCGGCCTCCCAAACTACTACACCTCCTCCTCCTCCTCCCCCCCCCCTCCTCTCGCACACTCAGCATCCTCTGAAGTAACGCATACACACGCGTACATCTCGTCTTTTCGTCCTCCTCATCGATGTCGTCCGCACTTCCCACAGCAGTCCCCAACCCAAGCCAATCGCGCGAAATCTTAATGCTTTCTTCAGCTGTCGAATGTGAAAGCAGAATATATATTCAATGCTTCGAACGTACGATCGCAAAACATTCCAATACCGGTGAAATTTTCGTTTCTGGCTTACAAATTCTATACAGATCCATTTTTTATTTTGGTGCAATTTTATAAAGTTTTATAGCGAATATTAATATTCTGTGCAGAAATTGAAACAACAGCTTCATAAATATAAAAAATTAAATATACAATGTTTTCGATTTTTATATATAAGATATTTTTCAATGTTCTAAGAATAAATTTGTTCAATTTTTATTTTGTAACTTTTATTATTTTTCCGTCCACAAAGAAAATCATTGATGCCGCTTAATAAACAACGATAATATATCGAGGCAATGTCTATCAAACTTCAATTTTAATTACCTACTATGCCGAAATCGATCGATTTTGGCAAAAGTAAAACTGAAACTAGCCAATGTTTGAATAAATTTCTGGCTAAAAATACATATAATTTCAAATGAATATTTCTCTGTGGTATCGTTTATTTGTACGGCGTTTTGGAAGTATACATCATCAAAATAACGCGTAAATCCATAACGGCGAAATGAATGCGATGCTTCCAGCGACAGTTGTGATTAGTACGACAGCAGCCTATCCCTTGTGGATCAACAATTACCTATCCTCCGGTGGTACCTTCCAAACTGGTTAGAAGCAAGTTATTGCGAGGCAAATAGTTCCCTATAAGCATATCGTTCCTAATATCGTAACTGTATTGCTGCGGGTGACAACGCGATTAGAACGGGAATATTAAGGAGTTAAAACGCTCGCTCGTGACTTAAAGTGCTCAGCTATCTATATACTTGACACTGACACAATTAAATGCTTACTCAACTATAAAATCATTCTAATTAGAATATAACATTTAATAGCTTAACATTTAATATCACCAAAAATAATGATAATTAAATATAAGCTTTTGTTAATTTCGTTCACTTTCTATCGTATCTGTCTCTACTGATAAATTTCAATAGTAATTAAAAAAGTGAAAGAGAACTATTGTTAATTAAATAATTAGTGTATACTATACCGATATGTGTATTTACATAATCTATTTTTCTTATATAAGGGATATTAGAAGAGCATTGCTCTTATTCAAACCAATAACTTTTCCCGCAAATGGTTAAATGCGTTTCCGCTGCGGTTTATAATCTTTTTTGTTTACGGGAGGATGCTTCACAAAGCGTCCCCCACGTCTCAGTGGAGCGCTCTCAAGCAACCGAGACCACCTCGCCCTTTACTTCCGCCAGGAATGTTTAATTAACACACTTCGACCCGCTTCTTCTTGGCTTTCATTACTGAAATTTTTCTGCCGGAAACACCGCGGTCCTTCCCACGAGGGACCATCCAACTTCCTTAATCGCGTGCCCAGTGGCGCGCTCTTTAAGCATTATCAGTATGCACAGAGTGCAAAGTTTCGCGGAAACCGCGGTTGGGAAATATAAGAACAAAAAAGAAAAAACGCAAAGATGAGTCCGCCATATTTTCCGCGGAAATATTTTCAGCCGCCGATAATAATGTTGAGCTGCCATAACTTGGCACTCGCGCTTCCACGTGGATTCCGCGCGTGTTAAGAACTTACGAGATCGATCTGCGTACGCCACGAAGAATAGTAGCTCGTATAATCGAACATGTCCACTTTTATAATAAGCGAGCGGAATTCACACAGAATATACACGCGGTGATTAGCAGCGATAAAATATTGCGAAGGATCGACGCGGCCTCAGTAATTGATCTAGCTCTTCAGCGGTTCTCAGCGAGTAACTTGGTTGGAAGTTTTATCTTTGCCAACTACGTGCGGAAGGAGATTAATCGCCGCGCAAACTCACGAGAACTGCATCTGCTATGTTAATCACGGAACTTGCTCGGCGCGAAGAAGAACCACAACCTCGCATCGTGGACATTACGATCGCAAGAGGGAAACTCTCTCGATCTTCTATCATCCAACTGGCACAAATCAATTACGCATCAAAAGTTCTATGTAATTTCTCTCCCGACATAGTTATATATAATAGATAACGTGAGAAACTTATGTTTGTCAAAAATAGACTATTTTACTATTTTCACTGATATAAATCGAGATATAAATCGGATATCGATCGTAAATAATGTATGATATATATACATTACACAAAGAGCAATTTTGTTGAAGAATCTAAAAATTTGGCTATAAGACAAAACTGAAAATAATTTTGTAGGACCATCAAAATAATTTTATCTTGATATTCTATAAGCAATCAACTTTGTCGTCTTATCTAATTGTTTCGATAGTACAGCAAAATTATTTTTCAGATCTGAATCTAGCTAAATTTTTACATTCTTCAGCAAAATTGTTCTTTCAGTATACATAAAAAAAATTTTTTATTTCCTTTTCTTTTTCATTTGCGACTTCTTATAAAAATATCATATTAACTATTTTACGTGACTTGAATCTATATTATTTTTGGCATTTCGTTTACGCGTGTTTAGAACGTCACAAGAGAAAGTTCAAGAGAAAGATCTACTGAAGCGAGCGCAAAATGCCGATATCGGACGCGTCCAGCTTAAAGCGGGGGAAACGCGGAACTCGTAGAAGACATCTTATCGCAAGGGGCGACCTTTCCATTCGATAATTTCCTCCCACGGGAAATACGCGGGGGCGGCTGCTACTGCTGCTGCTGCTGCTGCTGCTGCTGCTGCTGCTACTGCCGCCGCTCACTCGCGCGATTCTGTTCCGGTTCGGGTATTATTCACGTTCGTACTGCTGCTATACTGGAATGCTCAACTTCGACGTCCCTCGTGACGTCATGCTGGGCTTATCCACTATTATCACCCGTAACCGGTATGCACGTTCGACGGCAGGAAACATTTGAGAGCAAGAGGCGAGGCGAGGCGAGGCGAGGCGAGGCGAGGTGAGGCGAGGCGAGGCGAGGCGAGGTGAGGGGAAGAGAAGAAGACTCGGAAGTTGGCAGGGGGTTGCAAGAGTCGGCTTGTCGTTCTTGGACAAGACGCTCTCCCGGAGTGCGTAGGGGTTGAGCACCCATTTGATGCCCTACATAGCGGAGTCTCGGAGGCCGGAGGAGTTGGTCGGGGGTGGTCTGGGCAGGGACGAGGAAAGTGGCGTGAGGATGGTTGGGCGACGTAGGAGGTGAATTCCGTGGAAGGAGGTAGACGAGGATCGAGGACGGAGATGGCGTAAGAGGGAACGGGAGAGAGAGGCGGTGTAGGACGTTGGAGCTCTTTGGGGCTCTGAAAATGCAGCGTAATTTGTCTTTGTCTGGCGGGGGCGAGCGCGTAGTAACGGCGAGAAGGGCGGCTTGAGGCGGCATGGGGAAGAGGGGCTAGGAAGGGTAGATGAGGGCGAGGGAGAAGGTGGTGGGCCGCGGTTCTCGGTGGCGAGAAGAGTGCAAAGGGGGGTTCTGGTAGCGGCCCGTGGAGAGTGATGAGGAGAGGGCTGCGCGCGCGGGGGTGAACGAGAAAGAGGAAGAGGACGAGGAAGACCGGCTGCGGCGAGGGGAGCGCGGGGGAGAGAGCGGGGCGAGGGAGACAGAGACAGATTCCGTGCTTGACCCGCCTGGGATCGATGCGTTCGTCTGCCAGAACGCCGAGACGCCCGCGTCCTTCCTTCCTTCCTTCTCTCTTCTCGGCTCTTCTCTTCCGTCGCCGTCCTATCTTACTCGTTCGGTGGTCTCTCCGTCTTCGTTTCTCTCTGTTTCTCTTCCTATCCTTCTCTCTCTCTCTCTCTCTCTCTCTCTCTCTCTCTCTCTTCCTTTCTCTTTCTCCGTGTCCCTCTTTTCCTGTCCCTCTCTCAGTCGCTCCTTCTCGCGAGTTTCGTCCTTCGTGCTTTCATGTCGTGCTGCTGACGCTGACGCTGGTGCTTCTGGTATAGCTGCTACCGCTACCACCCACACCCTCCACCTTTCCCCGTTCCACCCATCACTCCCCTTCGCCCTTCAGTCCCTCCGCCCTCTCTACCCTTTTCGAAAAGCAGCGTCGTTGGCCGTCGGCGCAACGCACACGCCGTTAACCGCACTGCACAACGCGTGCAATCCGCCTCACCCACCCATCCCAGCCACCCACCGACCAACCGACTACCATCCGCCCTCCATCCGCCGCCCGCTCTTCGCCGCCTCGTCCTCCACCCCACGGTCCTCTCTTGCCACGCTGCCTCTTCGACCCTCTTCCACTGGTTACGACATACCGCACACACGCAGGTACACACACATATATACGTCTGCCTTTCCCTGCACGCACGTATACCCAGCGTACGAAGTAACACGCACGTATCTGCTCTTTCCAGCGGTCGCCTCGTCGCCTCTCCTCTCTCGTTTCCTCTTTCGTTTCTGTTCTCTTTTCCTATCTTGCTTCCCCCTACGTCTCTTGGCCTCTCTTGGTCCCTTCAATATTCCTCGTCTCTCTATCTTTCTCTCTCACTCTTT